GCTCGTATGCCTGGATAAAAGCAATTGCGTTGGGGTGCAACTGCAAGGGCGCCAGCCTTAACCAGTCGAAGACCCCTAGTTGAAAATCCGAGAAGGGCAGCTGAAGTCCCGCTTCACGAAAGCAAAATTCATACATGGGAAACCACATATTCCCATAACTCGAGCATATGTAGTGGTGGGTCCGTGGTCTATATGCTTGCCAGCTCATGGAGGAGCCCTCACAGCGATCCTCGATTGTGGCGAAGGCATCAGAATCATCCTCGACGAAACGGGAAGGCGTGCTCAGAGGCTCCTCCCCGACCCAGTCCTCGGCTGTCCTGTCCTCCTCATCGACGGGCAGGGCCACGAGAGACTCCGGTTCTACGTCGACTTCCATAACTCCTGGTATCCACGCGACCATGTTCACCTGAAAAGTAGAGGAAATGGTAAATTTGACGTTTTAAGATCAAATTCACCCTTCCACCACAGCTCAAGGGAAAGGGCGAAACGAACTACAACCTCGACATCCACCTCCCCGGGGCATTTTTCCAACGCTAACATGCGTCCCCGCGACATTCATCTGTACCTAGCGTACGTCCTCGAGACCTTTACCTATACCTATCATATGTCCCCGGGGTGTTCACCCAAATCCTATCATCTGTCCCTGGGGTATTCATCCAGCGCCATCACATGTCCCCGAGACACTCGTCCTAAACCCCTCAGTTGACCCCGAGGGCTTCATTCTAGGTCAAGGGAGTCCCGCCGTAATCGCCGGAAAACCCACATGCTCCTCGGGACACTCATCATGTCCACCACAAGAGATGTCAGAAATAAAGGAAACATAATAGAGGACTTACTTGATACAATAGCCTTAGCAGAGGTAGATGGACTTCGTGACGGACGGTACGGTGGCTGCACTGCGCGACGATGTGAGTACTGAAGAGCAAGAAAAATGCGTACGATAGAGCTGAGAGCGAAAAGTAACAAAGGGGCAGGCACCAATCTATTTATAAACCTAGCACGAAACTCGAAGCGCCCGTAGGCACTCAAGTGGCCTTAGGGTTAGCCGCCCTAGGATGGGCAATGAGTAACAGGCACGTGGCCACCATGAACGACTGTGTCCCTTCGTTCTCCTCCGGGCTCGGGGAAGCTGGCGCCCTGGCATCTTCTGCCTCCCCGACATAGTATCCCAGCGAGCCCGGCTTTCATCCCATCTGTCCTCGACATGGTTCATTCTTAAGTCATCACTTCTCCGCAGCGGAGCAACGACTTGGGGGGCTCCTGTTCTGGACTGGGCCGAGACCCGCCCATCAGTCGGGAAGTCCCAACCCAGCGATGTGTTAGAAAGGTCCAATAGGGACCAATCCTTCCACGGCGGCCACGAGTTATATACGTCGAACGGACTACCCCCTTGGACGGGCAGACCCACGCGCTTTCCCCACGTTCTCCACGTGCTCCCTCACGCGGGGATACATCATCAAGCAACTATCCACCTTCGAAAGAGCTGGTCAGCACACCTTCCGAAGATCACAGGGCAGTTGATCTAGGGCGAAGACCACGTGCTGGTCTTCACTACGCCACATAAGCCCTATCAATTACTTGGGTTGAGCTTGGCAGCCTGGCCCAATGCAAGTAACCGTTGGCCCTACGCTGGGGTCTCTCTATAAATACTTTCTTTCACTAGAGGGTCAGGTATTCCATTCTACACCTACTTCTGTATTTGCTCTCCCACTCTGATTATTTACTTACTTAAGCATCAGAATGCCTTGCAGGTACACCCCTCTCCTTCTTCCTACCTCCGGTGGAAGTTACCAGTCAACGACGCGTGGCAGACTAGTGATCCATTCTGATTGAGTACGATCAATATTATTATTTATATTGTGTTTACCTTTCATCTTCATGTATTACTATTTTAATTTAAATTTACTATTATTTTTTTAATTTTTTTTTTATTTTCAACTTTTAATATTTATAATAATCTGAAAATAAATGCACGTCTAAAATCATATCCCACACAAAAACGTATGTCGTGCGTAGACACAATTTTTCTACTAGTTAAAAAAGAAAAAAAAAAGTACATAATGAAATATAAAGTTATGGTGATGAAAGTGAGATTTAGCCAAATGGTTGGACTTTCAGCATAACTAAGAAAGTACATAATGAAAGATAAAATTATGGTGATCAAAGTGAGATTTAGCCAAATGGTTGGACTTTCAGCATAACTAGGTTCTATCAATTTAACTTGAGTTTTAGTACACATTTCAACAATTAGAGTATCTATTCCCCGACATTAACTCTTGAATTAAACCAAAACGACGAAAGGTCACAATATAACCCTTGACAAAAACTTACTACTAGTAGTGGTATACTAAAAAATACTTATTTATTTATTTTGTTTTCCATTACGTATGAAATTTGTTTTGGAGTTGTGTGTATCTGGCTATCTGCGCTTTACTTTCCATTACCGATAAGATGAGATCATGTAGCCAATTCAGTTGCAACTTGCAAAATTATTTTCTTAAATGGCAAGCTCCCATTGGCTCTCAGAGTGCCACACAATACTTGCGATATCTTCGATGATTGAGTACAGCTAGCCTGATGAAACCGAGAACGACCAGTTAACCGCAATAACCGTTTATTTATTTTGGAAAAATGCAAGTGTGCAAAATATATGAATAAAAAAGGGCAACTTGGACATTCCGACAATTTGACCCCAAAAATAAATAATAAAGAAAATATAGCAAAGTGCAAATATCTAAGAGGAAATTTAGTGGGAGTAAACTAAATAGGTAAACTAAGATATTTTTTGTGGGTCCAAAGTGATTTGTAGGATTTAAAAAATTTAAATTTGATTTGAGTAATTTTTACTTTAATGGTGGTTGTCTATAAGAAACCAAAACTTGATCCCACATGGTATTAAATGGTTAATAAAAATCTATTATTTATGTTAAATAATGAGTTAGAGTATGTTGCTTGTGTAGAGCACGTAAACTAGTTTTAGAGCATCCCATATGCCATGTCAGCACTACTATAATACAAATTCTTTATTACTAAGATAAGCTATAAATAATTTTGGTTTAACAACCCTGCACTAAGTGAATCCAACAAATGCGTATTCTATTCACACGACACTCCTCTATCATTTTTTAGTTACATCAAGTTTTTTTATAAAAAAAAACCTAAAATACTTTTTTTATCATGTAGTTTAGCAATTCAAATTTCACCTTTTAAAAATAAACAATTGAAATGTTCAATTTCAAACACCCACCTTTATATTTGATATTCAACATTTCAAACATGAATTTTTATATTTGCTAATTAAGTTGGAATAACACTAAAATAAATTTTATTAAGGAAAATAACTTATATACATTTTCTTTATTTTGTTGTTTTTTTGTTGGTTGGATCGTTAGATTGTCTTACTTGTATCGTTTTTTTTAATAATATATTTTTCTTCTTCCAAGATAATTATATACAATTTCTTATATGTAATTTTTATTATTTTTTAATAAAAATATGACACTTGTACTTAAATATTATGGGTAATGCTAACTTGTGTCCTTGAGGTTTAAGTTAAGAACTAAATTAATAAATATTGTCTTGGAAATTGTGTACAAACTTTAATTAAAGTATAAAATTAATTTTTAAATCGTTTTTTCCAATGCGAATTTACTATAAGTGTCTTTCTTAACTTGTGCTCTTGGGGTACAAATTAGCATTACCCAAATACTATTTAGGTATGAAAATAGAAATAAATTGTATATGGTTAGAAGGAAATTCTACTCTTATCACATTTTCATTGAAAAAAAACCACTTCTAAAAATTATATCCAAGTCTTATTCTTTTTATTAATTGACAAATTAAGTAATTAATTTTTATGTATTCTTTTTACCAATATTTACTTTATACATCCTAGAAAATTAATTTTTGACCGAGTAACATGGTCCAGATTAGTCGGGATGATTTCGCTCTTAAGCATTTAACTCTTCTAGAATTTACGCTTGAGGACAATGTACATTTAAGAAATTGACAAACTGAGTTATATTCGAGTCGGACATGACCCATTTCCGAGTCCAAACATAACATAGACCGTCCTAAATCTGAGATACCTAAGACAAGTATTTATAACATTTATCACATGACGTCAGCGTGTCTAAACATGTCTCTTTTACGTAATAACAATCAAATAATTGATGATTATAACTAAATCTATATCCGTTATCTAATACTAGTATTAAACTAAAAAATCAGTGTGTATTTTAAATCAAAGAGATTAAACTCATTTCATAAAAATAAAAAAAATAAAATCACTGTTTTTTCTAACTTTAATTAAAAGAATTATTCAATTAAGTAGTGTTGTTTACATAAATATATTCAGCTTTTTCTGACTTTAATTAAAATAATTATTCATCTAAGTAGTGTTATTTACGTAAAATATATTCAATTCAATTTGTAGTTTAACTCGTATCTCAAACATGTTGAATTAACACGCAAGTTTTTAATTTATAACCTACTCTAAGTTTTTAACTTCTATTAGAATCACAAAATTACCCTTACAATTTACTTGTTTTAGATACTTTACCGAACTTGTTAAAATTATGATATTTACACCAAAAATAGAAGTACTACTCTAGTATATATCTTTGCATGGTGTAGTATTCCTACTCATTATAAACGAGACAAATCGAGTGGAGGATACATCAACAGCAATTCACAAATAAGCCAAAACTGAGCTTTTCCCATCTGTCAAGTTGGCTTTTGAATAATCATCCGGCAAGCTTAGTAAATGCTCACTCCATCTGTCTCAACCAAATAAAAATACAAAATGTGAAAGATACCCCGCCCGTCGCATTAAGAAAATAATTAACCTCGGACCCATCGCTCCCTTCTTTGTCCCCTTTTCTGGCTTCTCTCATTACCCCATTCAATTAATCTAAACTTTTTCTCATCATCTCATTTCACTATCTAAACTATCTATATCTTCTTCCTCGGAACATATCCATATTCTACTATCTTTCATCATGCGGTTATTCTCGTGGCTAGAAACTTGCTCCTCCGCCATCTGCGCCACCGCCACACACAACTCAACCGTCGAACTCCTGCCGTCACAAAAACAACAACATGCATTTGACTCAAGTACTTCATTTTCTTCAGCGTTAACCTCTGATGATAGCACTTCCAGTACTCTTCGTAGCAACTACTCCATACAAACACTCCCTTCCGTTCCTTCTCTCCAGAAACTCTCTCCTCAAAGCCTCAACAACTTCTCCATCTCCTACCACTGTCTCACCTCCCTCACACCTCACCCTTCTCGCCCCGTCACCTCCCTCGCTCTCCAAAACAACCTCCTCTACGCCGCAACCGAGAACCAAATCAACGTCTACGATCGTCACACGTGTACTAATCTCCATACCTTCAACTCCGAAGCAACTTCATCCGGCTCCACCAAAACCATCATCTTCTCCAAAGACATGGTTTTCACCACTCACCAAGACTGCAAGATCCGCGTCTGGAAAAACAATGAACACCGCAAGTTAACAACTCTCCCTACCGTCAACGACCGTCTCCGCCGTTTCCTCCTCCCGAAAAACTACGTCACCGTCCGTCGCCACAATAAACGTCTCTGGATTGAACACGCTGACGCCGTCACTGACCTCGCCGTTTCTAACGGCGTTATCTACTCCGTTTCGTGGGATAAAACGCTTAAAATATGGAGAGTCTCTGATCTTCGTTGCGTTGAATCTGTCAAAGCTCACGAAGACGCGGTCAACGCGGTTGCAGTTTCTAACGATGGAACCGTCTACACTGGATCATCCGATAGAAGAATACGCGTTTGGGCGAAACCAGTTGGAGAAAAAAAACACGTTCTAGTTGCGACTCTGGAGAAGCATAAATCAGCGGTTAATGCTTTGGCGCTAAACGACGACGGTTCGGTGTTGTTTTCGGGTGCATGCGACCGTTCGATATTGGTGTGGGAGAGAGAGGATAGTGCGAATCATATGGTTGTGAGTGGGGCTCTGAGGGGGCATCAGAACGCGATACTATGTTTGATCAACGTCTCTGATTTGTTACTTAGTGGGTCCGCTGATCGGACGGTCAGGATCTGGAAACGGGCTTATGATGGATCGTTTTGCTGTGTTGGTGTTCTTGATGGTCACCAGAAACCCGTGAAGTCGTTGGCTGCAATTCCGGAGTATGGTGGTGATGAAAGTTCAACTAACGGCGTCGTTTCTGTTTTTAGTGGTTCGTTAGATGGTGAGATAAAGGTTTGGCAACTTTCTATTGGGTCTCTGGCTGATCAGGATCAGGATTTTATGATTTCTTAGGTTGCTTGTAAAATTAAAGCAGAATAACTGAATGAGGAAAGTAAAAGATTGATAAAAAAAGGAAGAAAGTAGTTTTGCTTAATAAAAATCAAGAACAAAGTAGGGTATGATCACATGTATTTCTACTTTTTGTGGTACAGGACAAATGATCTATAAAATTTCATTCCTATTTTAGGTGGAAATTGTGGATGTAGTTTGTAAGATTCAATATTGAAAATTACTTTGATGTGAATGAATATTCTCAATGTAAGTAAAAGGAGAAAACCATCATATTATTATGGATTTAATTATTCAATTTGTATATTATTATGGATTTAATTATTTAATATATACAAATTTAAATTTTATTAGTTGTGCAAAATATCATAATATTAATTTATAAAAGCATTTATCTTTTATTACAATTATATCTAAAATCGTATTAACGAATATTTGTTATGTATTTGAACATTATTAAACTTTTTATATTAATATTGTTTGTCAATTTGAACATTATTTTTTATATTAATATCTTTATATTAATATTGCGCGTCAATTATACTCTAGTATATAGTATAGTTTTTCTAGAATGGTAATTTTTCAATTTCTTTAATATCTCTTAGTCCTGAATACCATTGGAATTCTATGTTATAATTGTACTAATATACTGGAATTAGTGTTGATTGAAAAATAATGGATTCACAATTTGTTTATATAGTGGTTTGAAGTTTGGATTCACAATTTGTTTATATATTGGTTTGAAGTATCTTTTATAAGAAAAGTATAATTAAATGGGATAAAGGGGTACTCAACTTAACTTACAACAAGAAAAACTAAAGAAACATTAGTGGAAACTCAAGAAACATTAGTGGAAACAATAAGAGGATTTACTAATCAATCTTTCTTATCACAAAGAAAAACACCCTTAAATCTAGCACATGCTCATTTTCAATAGAGAGATTTAGCCAAATAAACTACATCAATAACATCATCAAGTCCCATGTTAAAAATAATAATATTTTTAGAAAGTCAAATTGCCCTAACAAAATTGAAGATGAATGGTTAAAATGGTAGCTTGAACACAAAACTTTCAGTCTTTGATGGAAAGAACTAGAATTGGTGGATGACTCATATGTGTGTGTTATTTGGTGCTCAAGTTGATCTTGTCAATGACGCTTATGCAACAGTTGTAGTTGATGCAAGTGAAGGTTGCGTTAGTGAAGAAGGTGTTTGGCGCTCAATCAATGATTCGACAACGACGAAGGTTGCGTGAGACACACTAGTACGGTGCTATGACGGTGATGCATTAGTGAAGAAGGTGAAAATTCAGATTCTACGTAAGCAGTATGGGAATATCAACACGAAGAACAGTGAGAAGGTACCTAATTACATCTCCAAAGTGATTCTGATCACAAATGAGATGAAATCTTGTGGAGAAACTCTCTGAACAAGTAATCATTGAAAATGTACTGAGATCTCTTACTCCTGAGTTTGATTATATTGTTGTAGCAATTGAACACTCTAAGGATCTGAGCACCATGAGAATTGAACAACTGTAGAGTAGTCTAGAGGCGCAAGAGTTGCATTTGACTAAGAGAACCTCTAAAAGAGAGGTAGAACAGGCTCTAAAGGCGTCTTTTGGTAAGAAAAATTAGAAGCAGTCTTAGTCAAAGGCCAAGAAAATACATGGTGGTGGTTATTTGAACTCAAAAGCCTCCAACTCCTATGAGAAGAAACATCTGAAGGGAAACGAGAAGCATGACAAGAAGAATGTTCAATGCTAATATTGTAAGAAGTTTGGTCACTTTGTTGTTGACTGTTGGTGAAATAAGGAAAGGAAATCAGAAGAAGCAAACATAGCTAGAGGAGAGTCTGATGATGAACTTGTGCTATTTATGGTTTCTGAACTTGATGTTGGATATTTGGTAGACTGGTTTTATATAGACATTGACCGCTCAAATCACTTAACTAGAAATAAGCAATAGATGGTTAATTTTGACTCTAGAAAGAGGACAAAGATCAGATGTGCTGGTGATAAGTATCTGAATGCTGAAGGAATATGAAATGTCAAGGTCAAAGTGAAGAATGGAAAAACTATTTTGATCAAGGATGTTTGGTATGTTCTTAACATGAAGAGCAATCTGATGAGTGTAGGTCAACTAATTGAAAAAGGTTTCTCAGTTACTATGATGGACAATCTCTTGAAGTTGCATGATTCTAATCATAAGTTGATTATGCAGTATGAACAGGGAAGCAACAGAACATTCAAGGTGAATGTAGAAAACATCTGATACTAAATGCCTTAGTGCAGAAGATGTTGAAGGTAACAGTGCGATATGGAACAAGAGATTGGGGCATCTGAACTTCAGAAGCTTAGGGAATATGAGTTCCAAGAAGCTGGTATATGGCATTCCTAAATTTGTGAAGCCTGAGAAGTCATGTGAGATATGCATGAAAGGCAAACAACCAAGATTGTCAATTGCATCAGAAGTAGCTCCAAAAGCAAAACATGCTTTAGGAGTAGTGCATTATAATGTATGTGGACCATATGAAGCACCTTTGTAGCACCTTTGTAACACCCTGTATAATATATATCTAGAATAATATCATACAAGAGTTATTATCTGGTACTGACACCATCATAAGTTTCTATTGGCATAATTTACATACTTGACCACTTTACAAAAACATAAAAGGACAACAATGGTACAAGATGTGGAAAGTGCCAAACATAAAAGTCTAATATCTAAGTACAATATCCTTCATTGTGCAACTTAATACACGATGGAATAAACACAAGCTAAGCTTCTCTTGAAATATCCATGCATAGCTCCACTTGCAAACTAAACCTGCAAACAATACCTGAAAAACAACAACAATAATGGGGTGAAATGATAATCTCAGTGAGTTACCGTATATTCTGGGTTCACTTGGCTCTACAAGGTTCTAATAATTTCAATCTCAAGTCAAAGGGAAAGCGATAAGACTTGAGTTCACATAGTTCGCATGTATGGAAACATGTCTTTTGAGTCCACCAACTCAAACAATCACTAATCGAAAATCATTCCAAGGTAAACTTCCCTGCCGCCTCACCTACGTTTAGGACTTTTAGTGTGGGTCGCGGATCCTTGTATCTACTTTGACATACGAAATAGATTTGGACTCAAGGTGTTTCCCACATGAATCGTCACTTCCCATAGGACCGCTCCCCATTTCAAGTCTCTTACCCGTATGCTCTATTCGGATATACGGGATAAATGAATGGATTTGGATTCAAGGTTTTTCCCACATGAATCGTCATTTATCATGGGACCTCTCCCCATCTCAAGTCTCTTACCTATAGGCTCCATTCATTTAAGGGAACTCCTGTCAAAGTACTAATGCATACACCCCAAATGAGCTCTACATAAGCATCAACTCTTGGGACGACATCCATAAAGGTTATTTCTGACTATGTGATAAAACACGACACATGTTCCACACAAAGCTCTCCTTATAACTAGACAACTACTTGCCAATGATACACGCCTAAGCATCATTGCACAAGCATTGTCGTCTATATTATTCATCATGTCCTAATTATCTTACTAGTTCATTTCATTAATTAATATCAAGGGATTCCTCACCATTTTTATAATCTTTTAACCATGTTATCACACAATCAAAATATCCATGTATACATATACATTACACATAAAGTACATATAATAACACAATTTAGTCAAGCATAAATAATGAACATAAGACATAGAACCAATATTTTCCTCTACCAAAATTCTTGATTAAAACATGATCACAACATAGATAGGTCTTTTGGAATAAAGGTCCATCACCAATATCAAACTATTTCGCATGGTGCTCATCATAATACCAGGTGTTCATCATCACCCATTCACATATTATTCCATTTCAATCCAATACTATTCAATTAATCGAGTTACGGCTCACAAGATACGAAGAAAATAAGAAACAGGAAAACTTCCCCCTGCTATGGTCGCACAGCTGTCATACCCCAAATTTGTCCTACTTACATATATGATTTTCATTTGTATATCCACCCACCAACTATTATTCAGAAAATCCAAAAAATATGTTGTTGTTTTCTTTTTCCCTAAATTGAGTTTCATCTGAATATGTCAAGTCAAAAGTGTGTGTGTAGTATGATTAAAGTTTATCTGGTCCTGATTTAGTTTTGGTCAAAAAAAAGTTTGTTTCATGATCAGGCCAGGGTATGCATGGTTTTGAATGGTATATGCTCAAGGTTCCAACTAGGATTTTATGCAAAGTCAGGTCTGCTGTGGAGGAATAAAGCCCTTCAACTATACTGAAGCAGTTTGTTTTGTGGTTGAAAATCACCAAGGGCCAAATCATTTTTTTTCTTCTAAATAGAGTGGTGTGCAGTACATGATTCTGATTGCAAGGCAGGTTCATAATATTGCTTAAGAGGCGTCGAGTTCAATACAGTTCAAATGACGAGGACAAGGTTGATTTGTTTATGGCTCGAAATTTTCACCCAATCAATGCTTGAAATTAAGTCATCTTTAGCCTCACTTCTCAAGATTTGAATCAATGTTTTATTTCATCACAAGTTTATTATCTTTAGGAATTCAAAGATGGTGAAAAGTAGCTTCAAGCGGGTTCATTTCGATTTATGAATCCTGGCACTATTTAATTTCAATTTAAGATGTGAAAGAATCGAGTTCAAGCATTTTTGTCGACACGGCTCAATTAAAATGGAGGGTGTGAATTGTATTCAAAGGCCTATATCAACAAGGCCATTACAACAAGAGATGCCTAAGCCTACAAAGTAAAAAGCATTACAAAAATGGAATTCCCATAATTCATTATTAATTATTGTACATAAAGCCCATTATTTTTACAACAAGATCACAAAAATATACAAAAGCCCACATGATACAATCCAAATCCATTCCCATTTTACCACACTATTCTACACAAAGGTTCCAAGACAGAGTTGAACAATCTCACACAACAAAATTACCTTTCGATACCTGCAAACT